ACAACTTAAACTTTTAGATTAGGTGCTTCATCGGATATACATACGTTTATAAACATAACTCCTTTGTTAAATGCAACAAACTATTGTGAATTCCAATTATGCTTTTTTTTTTTTTTACCATAATATCTTTAATCATAAAAAATCGTTTAAAATATTGATGCTCGATTATTTTGATATTGTTCCAAAAGTATCAGTCAAATGCATACTATTGTGACATTGTGTTTAATTTTTGGGCATGGTTCAAAGCCTTGGTGGCAGATAGGCATTCTAAACAGATATGCATCATACTTGGGTGCCACCAGGCTCCGTACCTGGTGACAAGCAACCTTCAGCTCAGAAGATTGAGATACAATATGTGTATATAAATATTGGTTGCATTATCACTATTATTTTTGAGACACGTAAACATCATTATCAAGAAATCATGTTTTTAGCTTGCCACTTTCATTCCATGGCCATATAATGTTCAAGTTCCACAGCAAATCTCAGAAATGATAATGCCACAAAATGATAGTAGCAGAAATCATACATGGTACTCTAGGAAAAAGTGCCAACAATAAGATTTGAACTCTGTCTAGCATCAGTTCAACAGCTACATATGACGAATAATAAATCTGCCAACCATTTGGAGTATAATTTAAACGAATTTGGGATTTAGAGTAGCTTTCACTACTGTTAAAAGTAAAATTTTAAGACATAATATATATAGAGAGAGGATAATGATATTGTATTATTCATAATACTTACCTATTACCCAGGTGACTATAAAATCAAAACGATTTTGACCATCCCTCCAATAGTTCTCAAACCCATATGCATAGATCTTCAGTGCCATCTCCAGGACATACAGCCATCCTGCAGAGGAAAATGCAAGCAAATTCAAGAAGACATTGATGCTTCATAAAATCTGAGATCCATGGAACACTTACCAAATACGAACTCCACCTTTTGCCAAGCCTCTTGGGCAGAATTATTCTCAATATCAAGCTAAAAGCCAATCAGCATAACATGTCAGCATATGAAATGATAACATCAACATGGGTTACTAAATCATTAGTCAACCAATTTTCAGCAATCCCAACAACGTTCTTTACTCTTCAGGAATCTAAATGACTTTCGGAAGTTTAAATGATAATTATTAAATAATAGCATCTAAAACTACATAAAGAATTGATAGTGCTATATGATTCATGAGTCAAACATACACATAATTTCATTGAGTTTATGTTCAAGAAACCATTAAATCTTCTCAAATATAATAACGTGGTTTAACTACTATTTCGGAGACTACTTGACTGAAAGTCATACCGTTGTCTCAATAACGACGGCCACAAAATTCAAGACGAGGATGAACACTACTATGTACCCAAATTTGGGGCTTCGAACAAAGTCTTTCAGCTTCTCAGAGGCAGGTGAGTGGTAGAAAGTTGGACAGCTTTCAAAAATAGGTAACTGCAAACGGAAAACAGTATCAGAGTGCAGATAAAAGATCTTCATATTTTCATTAAGACCACAGAAGAATGCAAGACACTATTCAAGCCTCAAGTTAATGGACGCACTGTCTCCTCCTTCTGAAATCTTAGTGCAATGGCATTGACCAGATCAGCAAATTCATCCAAATTAATCTGCAGGTGCACCAAAAAGAGCATCAAAATAATAAATATGTCATTAGACAAAATAATCATCAATTGGCATAGTTGTTTTAGAAAGAAGCGTATATGCCACTTCCTACAAGTACCAAATTAGTCCAAAAATGTTCAATGCCTTTTGATTGGGTATGCAATGAATATATCATATGTAAATATGATATGAGTAAATATTCAAGTTAATATAGTGAGTCAAAAGAGGCTAAATTTTTTAAAGTTGTGTTCCGGTATAAGAATGAAACTGAGAATAATCAACTAGTAAACATGAAAATACTTTAAAAATGGCGTGGTAATTGGACAAAGAAAGAGTAAAGAGCTAGAATAGCTAAACCACTGACCAGGAGTAACATATATGATTGAATAACCTACAATTTTCTAAATAAACTATATCTAACCCAGAAGCATCATGCCGGAAGGTAGCTGCTATATTAGAGGATTCAGTCAAGCAAAAACACATGGCAATTGGTTGATCTAGTAGCTGGAAAAAATCAATTGGGTGCAAATTGAAGATAACGACAAGATTTTACTTGTTGCTAAATTATACAGTCAATGGGAAAGAGTTGACTATTTTGATACCAATTAACCAGTAATAAGAATTACTTCTGTAGACATAAATTGCTATCGCAACTTCTGCAATTTAAATGTAAATCAAATGGATATAAAAACTACATTTTCTATTGGTGGATCACATTCCGTTGGGAAAAAGAATTTCCTAACCAGAGAAAGGATATACCAAGACAGAGAAGAAAGGCCAACAATTTACACCAACCAAAAACTAGAAGACAAACTACCTTGAAGTCATGACTGTCATCCAACTCGTCAAATATCAGTTCAAAATCTTCTCTGGATATTTTGGGCAATGTCCTAGATAAATTGCAAAACAGTTTCATACTTCAATGTCTATGTGACACCACAAAAAAATGCTAAATCTTGAGAAGAAACCTTAAAATGAAAAGTTACTATAAAAGAAATTCCTTTCATACAAAGAGAAGCTTTCATGCAATGAAATTCTCATACAACAGAAATGATATAGTGGAAAGTAAAAGCAAATATTATAAGTCATACATTTCTTAATTTTCCCAAAAATAACCGAACTAATGGAATTCTAGTACTTCAAGAGATAGGAACTAAAAGAGGAATGCCAACAAATCCTCCCAATAAAATCCAGTAGAAGCTTGGAAGTATAAGGTATCCCTCCCAAAAAGAAATGGATGAAATTCTTGAAGTGTATTTGTTTAGTTTCTAATTACTTGTCACCGTCACCTCATCATACAATAAAATTTGCAAAATACGCAATGGGACTGCAAAGTTTCCATAACTTCTTGTCGAAGACAATAATTAAAGGATTTACATACGACCTTATCTAGAAGCTTAAGTGATGCAGCAAAGTATATTCGAGGAAAAAAAGGAACTAAATTAATTAGGGTTTCTTTAATTCTAGTTTGTGTTAGATTAGGATTATTTCCTTAGTTAGTTTCCTACTTTGATTAGATTTGTTTATTTTCCTATTTAGGATAGGATTGTTTAGACCTCTATAAATAGAGGACTTTGTTTTATTTAAACTTTGATTATTGAATACAATTACTCATATCTCTTATTCTCTTCTCTCTCTTAACTTCTCAATTTTCATAAATTGCTAATTGTGAATCTTCTTTTACCAGCTTCCTAAGTCAAATTTGTTATCACAGCTTGACGGTTTCCTCTGACCAAACAGTTAGAATCTATGGTTGTATTGTACTCCTTATTTGGCTATGAATTATTATTGTTAGAGATTATTTCCTAGAATAGTAAAGTCACTAGTTTTAGCTTTTAGCCCTAATTTCTATCCGAAGATAGTATGTACCCTGAATAATTTACATGGTATCAGAGCTTCTTCTCTAGCAAGTTGCTCGATTTCGACTGCTGGGGTTTCTTCTTTCACTTCTCCAGCGAGCCGCCCTAGGGTTTCTGCTCGCGATAGGGGCTCTACCCATATTTTCCGACGGTCCCAGTCAAGCGCCGACTGCACCAAGAGGGTCGCCAGTCGTCGCTTAGTCATCGCCCGCCGCCGATTCAGCCTTCTGTTGCCGATTCAGCCTTCGGTCGGTCTTAGGTCGGGTTCCTGCTCTATTTTCCGACGACTCCAGTCAGCGTTGCCTGCACCGGAGGGGTCGCCCGTCGACATTCAGCCTCCACTCGTCGTCCACCACTGATTTTCAGTTGGTTGGGTTTCTCGTTTTCAGCTAGTTATTTGGGAAGTTGTTTGGCTTGTGTTTGGAGCTCTGGGTACTGAAAATTGCAGATTTCTGGGGTTTTTGGTTGGAGATATATGCTTCAACTTCATTATTTGAAATTTCTAGTCATCGCTCAGATTCGGGCTCTTCAAGTACTTTCACTCTATTGTGATATTTTGCTTTGTTATTTGCTTGATATTTGATAAATGGAGGATAAGACTTCTGTTGTTGTACCTAATGTGATTCCTATGATGTCAAAAAGTACGGAACATAGACTTAATAGATCTAATTATTTAGATTGGAGTAAAATTGTTAGATTGTATTTGCGAAGTATTGCTATAAATAATCACAGATGAACCACCTAGTGATGGTTCGAAAGCCTCATGGCTAAGAGAGGACACACGTCTGTTTTTGCAAATAAGTAATTCTATTGACAGTGAGGTGGTCGATTTGATAAATCACTGTGAATTTGTAAAAGAATTGATGGATTATTTGGAATTTGTGTACTCTAGCAAGGGAAATATCAAACACACATATGAGGTGTATCAAGCTTTTTACCGTGCAGAAAAAGGTGACAGATCTCTTACTGACTACTTTATGAATTTTAAGAAGGCTCATGAGGAACTCAATATGCTACTTCCATTTAGTACTAATGTAAAAGTTCAGCAAGCTCAGAGGGAGAAAATGGCGGTTATGAGCTTCTTGACTGGTCTTCCTTCTGAGTTTGAGACTGCAAAGTCTCAAATTCTTTCTAGCCCTGAGATATCCTCGTTGGAAGAAGCCTTTAGTAGGGTACTCCACACAAAAAATTCACCTTCTGCTCAACCTCATAGTGCTCTCGTCAGTCGCATCTTTGAATCTGGGAGACAGCCTTATAGAAGTGGTAATAAAGGGGAAAACTCAAGTGGCTATGATCGAAATCTGGGTACTCAAGGACAGGATTC